AACGCATCAGAAGGATCACTATGTCTTCAGATTTAGTCCTAATTTTGGTATTAGGAGAGCTTTGCAACCAGTGGTTTTTGCGATTTTTCCCAGCTGCCATACACCCGCAAATGACCATCGTTTCGTTGGCTAGAGAGGGGAGATAATGAAGGGCTAAAGGCTCCTCTGAGTGTATAATAGAAAGAGGACTTTTGAGGAGTGGGAGAGTTTGAGGGGGCTGTACTAGAGACATAGGAGGGGATATACTACTGGTAAAGGTATCCTCGGCCTGTGGGCAGAGAGGACCTGCAAGTCCTACATAATCATAGACTTAGACAGGACGATAAAATGAATTAAAAAAACTATCGAGAATGTGTCAGTTTTATGTGTGCCCGCAATTGCATAGATTTGGCCAATGGGCTATCCCCTCTTTTACTACGGAGGACGAAGGTCGATCACATTTCGGTGGTGTCCTCTACGAACCTGGGAGTGAGATATTCTCCCGGAGCCAAGATTCAGTCACAACAAAGGGTGAATTTGAGAGTTTTCGTTGAGTTGGCGATCGGGAGGAGTGATGTTGGCTCATTTTTGGTCGAAAATCCGACTTGCAGAGATTTCACGACTGCACAACTCAACGAAATCAACCATCTACACCCCAGATACAAACCGCAGATAGGCAAAAACTTATCTGATGTTCGTATCACAACAACCGATAGCATTAAGATCTTATTTTATTTTTCTCTGGAAAATCATTCCCAGCCAAACTCATCTCGCGGCCCTCTCCACAATAATCTCACCACCTACCGAAGCAAACCCCCATACCTCCAAAAGTCAAATCGCCAACAAAGAAGCAAGAGGATGTCCGACCTTCCCCAACTGCCAGTCTCTGTGAAGGTACAGTCGAAACACCGGCCTTAAATACGTCCTCATCTCGGACAAGGGCACCAATAACTCGACCTGCGACGAATCGCCACCGACGAAATACGTACGACATTTCGCCGCCACACCAACAGAGCGTTCGACAAAGGCTGGGGCACCGGTGCCTCGGTCTTGAGCTCTCAGTCGCGTTTTCGACCTCCACGGTTAGGGATACGGCAGCGACGGGGCAAGGCCGGAGGGGTGGACAATCTACAAAGTTTCTGGGATGACGAGGCTGGCTGAAGGATAGAGGAATGCTACATGAAGGAACGAAAAGGAATACAAACTGAGGAGACCTTGGTGGGCGACTGGATGAGGCCTTCAGTGAAGAAAACAACCCCTGGATGAGATGATGAGATGCTGAGATGAGCCAAAGCTGTGAATGAAGCGAAACGAAAAGTTACAGATCGCGAAGGTGTCAAGAGCTCGGGCGCGTGGTGGCCGAGGCTGAGGAGGAATTTGCACTTTGGCGCGCCAAAAGGGGGTTCTCTAGACGGTTGGGCTTGACATTATTCAACGCATGGGTGAAGTCTGATGTAGGAGGGCAAGACTGAACACCTTTACGCGGTGTCCTCTACGAACCTGAGAGTGAAATATTCTCCCAGAACCAATTTCAGTCAAATTTCGCAATATCAAAGAAGTTGGCCCACGAGGCAAAAATTCAAATTACTTCACCATGTCAATCTTTCACTCCCAAAGAGTCCGATTCTCAACTAAACTTCATCAAGTCTACAAGTACGACATAGTACATCCTCAATCCAATGATCACACCTCTCGTCGACTTTCTCTGGCCTCAGTTGACCACCAAATACGCGCCCACGCCGATATTTATACCCGACGGAGGAAGCAAAGCGTGGAGCACAAATCCGGGAGATAGCTCTTTGGGATGGACGTATGAGGGATCAGGAAAAGTTTACAAGATGATGCAGAAGAGGGATACATTCTCGACGGGCGTGAAATTTCGAATTTTGGCAAGAGTTTTACAAATTGAGCTATGTGAGCGCCAAGACTTCGCTTGCGAGAGTGCAGCTGACACTATAAAAACAAGCCGACGATGGAAGGTTTGGTGGTCCGCCCTCTGGTGATGTTTTCTGGTATAGTTTGAGTAGCCTGGGCACCTACTCCACTTGGAAAGGAGACGCCTCAGATCACATATTGCGCGGAGAAAAGTTGAAAGATGATGGAGGCATGTCTGGATAACTCAGAGTTTTTGAGACGTTCCCCTGGGTGGGTATTCGCGGATGAGGGTGGACTTGGGGTGAAGAAAAAGCCACCATAACTTCGCAGTGGTACTTGCAAATGAAATCCGAGGCATGAGTGCTCCTATTGTAAATTGAGTCATCTTTTCTGTACTTTTCTTTGATGTTGTGTCATAGCTAGATAGCTGCATACGCAATTAAAATCTGATGCAAAATAAAAAAAATAAGTCTGATGTGGTCCGGTCATTCAAGTAGGACGAGGTAGATGTACTTGATGTTAGTCAACCTGATCCAGCCCGGCCCTACTCGTGCTCAAGCTCCGATAGAAATGCGGATGGTTCCATTTTTTTTAATTCATAGTGTATTCAGCTATCTAGCTATGACACATCTGATTATTTTATATCTAAATACAAATATTTAACCCCCATTTCCTCTACTTATCTCCTAGTCTCCTCCATTTCAGTCAGCTTTGGATGCATTCATGCATCCACTGCTTTGAAGGAAGTGGAGAGTTGCTTCTTTTACAATTTTTGTATTAAACAATATCTCTAATCTCAATGGCAATATGCCTTTAAAAGCTTCCTTTCTTTCAGTCTTAAACTTACTACAATAAAGAAGTAGGTGTTGAACAGTCTGTTTTCCCTTCCAACAAAAGTTGCAAGAATTATCCTTCACTTTTTTAATTCGAAATAAATGGGCCCTGGTATTTCCGATCCCTGTTCTCGCTTGTATAAATGAAGATTGTGTCATTCTACTGTGATGACTGAAGTTGTATGGCCTCATTTTTATTATGGGTGATCTTTTCCTGGCATGCACTTGATAAAGCCTTCCCAGTCCTTTAGCCCTTCTACCCTCTTCCTATCTCAAGACTTGGGTCTCACAGTCATTTTGCCAGGCTTTAAGAGTCATTTCCTTTGCCTTCTGCTTAAGGTAATCAATTATTGTGAATTTATCTCTTTTTCTGACTTTTTTCTTGGCTCCACCTCTTGCCAGATTGTCTGCTAGCTCATTCCCAGCAATACCTTCATGGCCTGGACACCAGTGTAGATGTATTTGATATTTATGGCTTTTTATCCTTATTTGATGTGAAATAAGATGATTCCAATTGTCTAGCACATTAAACAAACAAAACAAATGGTTGGTAACTAACTCACACCTTGATAATATGGGCCCATCTAGAGAATAGATATAGGATTTCTAAACAGGAGGATGATATATACAATTATGGCGCTGGATTTAGCTGGATTCCAATCGATTAGGAAAATAAATGAGCTTTTGACTTAGAAACGCCCAAGCTCTATACATTGAAACTGTGATAGAAGATAACACCATCTGCAATCTCAGACTCGGAAGCCATAATCAGATCAAAGTCGAAACCCTCTGGAAAATTGGCAGTCCTAGCAAGCTAATTGGTGACCTCTTCTCTCCCTCGCTCTACGCCCTAGTTGCCTGCATTACCCCAAGAGATAGAGTCCATTAGAGCGATGGGCCCCCACAAGCCAAGACCCGAATTCTATAACTCACGACTTATTCTCCTTACGGGTGTAGGCAGCATCATTGTTGTGTCGTGAAAGATGGCCGGTACTAAACAGGGCAAGCTACTCTTTGAAATCGAAGCAATCGCATGATTGGTCATTGAGGCAGGATGATACGTAGCAATATTTGGTCAGGACATAGGTGTGCCAATGTTAGGGCCGCGATTGAGAGGTCGTTGAGTTTAGTTACAATATCTCTTTTTGACTTTGAAATCGCCTGCGACTCATCCTCGCCATCCCAGATATTCCGGGCGTTCGCTGCGGGTCCACTGGCACTGCTAGAAGGCTAAGGAGACGTCTTTTTTTTTCTTCAGATTTTAATTGCGTATGCAGCTATCTAGCTATGACACAATATCAAAGAAAAGTACAAAACAGATGATTCAACGTAAAGGAAGAAAGGAGACGTCTTGCAGGTATTATTCCGGAGTGAAATGGCATTCATACGATCAATCCTTTAGCAATTATTGTTTCTTAAAAATTAAACTACTGATCACTTTTTCAAATGGAGTCAAGCATTAGGTTCTACTGTCAATTTTAAATTGACCTCGACTTGTGATCGTCTATGAGGCCATGTTACTGGCAACGGCAGGCTCATTTAGAGAAATTTTATGGTGAGATATGACATATCTCTTCGAGGCATCAATGTGTGAGGTTAAACTCCATCTCAAAGACAATTTCCCAATTCTACGATAGACTACTACATCACCACATAGGTTCAATCAATCGTTGAATAGATCCTGCACCAGTCTTAGACTTGCTTCCGATTTAATTAGGAAAAAACTGTTTCCCCGGAATAATTGAAGTTGCTCAAAACTCATATGAACAAAGACGGGTGAAAGTAAAACTCAGAGGTTCTTATTTTTCAAAACTACATCAATTTTTTGATAAAATGTTTTACCAGGTTAGATTTGTATAAAAAGAGCTCAGCTATGAGCACATGAAAGTCATGTCATGTTGAAAGTCAGGCCCTAGGTGATGCAGATTTTTTGTAAATATTTGATTTTTGGTCTGAGTAGATGATATTAGTTCGTGCGTAGTATCCATTACTCAGGTAGCGTATCTTTGATTCGTTTAAATCCTACATAAGTCTATAACAGTTAGAGGTTATATCAGAAGGCGCCTAAGACCTGGCTATATTTAATCTTGGTAGAGGAGATTTAAGGTTTGTAGAAAATAATATTAAACTTCGAACGAGAATATATCTGAAAATATAAAGTGGTCAGATCAAATAGATTATGTACAATTGAAAAATTCGCTGAGTAACCTAAAAATTTATTTTTATAATCTCATGAGAGTGTAGATTGGCAGTTTCTTCGATGGTTAACCTATTCGCTATGTACAGAAGGAAATTCTAAAGGCATCTGATGCCTTAGTACTGGCTGGCAGCCTGCTGGCACGATTTCTACGACCCACAGGTTAGCATACAATTGCTTCGTGCAATGCACCTTAGCGAATGTGATCGCACATACCAGTTGTTCTAAATACCAGTTGCAGATCTGCATATTGCCCTGGTTATCATCTAAGCACTTAGTTAACTGCTTAGCACTCATATCACAGCTTCCTGCGGCCCAGTTGTTTGTTTGATTTGAAGACTCTGCAGCAGGTGCTGATTCAGCTACCGTTTGAGATCCGCCGAAAAGGCCACCAATGGCACTTCCAATGGATGAGCCAATCGCAACACCGCTAATTTTATTAGATTTGAAAGCCTTATATGAAAAGAATCCACTCACGCCGCCGTTGAGGCAATTTGACCTAGCATTCCTGGGCCAGCCGAGCTGGGTGGTTGTGCAGTGGGTGGATGGGCAAGCGTAGATGCTGGACGAGACTGTTGCTGCGGCACAGCGGGTTTCGATGGAGCGATTTTGGGACGAGCAGGAGCGCGACCTGCACTACCTGATCTGCTTTGGCGAGGCATTTTGAGAATCTAAGTGAAAGATAGGTGTCGTGAATGGAGACGTGATTCTTTAATTCGTGTATGTTCTGTAGATGGCACAAATACGAGGCGCAACTAATAATCTTCAGGAAGTCTTCTGGGGAATTCCGCCAAGAAATATGCCTCAGGTATCCTCGAGTCGAAGAATGTTCATTCATAGCCCCACGGCTAAGGTGTCCCCGAAAGCAAATCCAACGAAAGAGTATCAGCTTCAAACTGCCACTAAAGCAGAATGTCCCCTACAGCTTCGACCAATTGTCGAGGCTGAAGAAAGATGTGCCGCCGAAACAGTGGCAAATCTGACACTCTGTTCCGCCGCCATCTCTGGCGTCGAAGCAACCCTTCTCCCTTTGACCAACGGGCCAAATAGACATTTTGTAGACTCGATGAGAGTCTACATACGCGCCGCCATTGCGCAATACAAGGCCACGGGCCCGGCTTCCACGCCATTCGTCCTCCCTCCTCGCCCGGCGAATCCTCCTCCGAGAGCTCCCAACGCCAGGAGCAGACCAATACCTGTCGTCCCAGCTCAGCCTCCAAAAAGCACCTGGGCCACGGCGGCCAGAAACTGACTGCTATAAAAAGCAGTCCTTTCAGTAAAGGCTGTGCCGCAGCCTGCGGTCAAAGCCCCAAAGAAAGACGCCCCAAAGGCGGGAGTCGACAAACGACTTTTCATTCGCCATGGTAGCGACCACCCCTGGAGGAAATTGTCTCCCCAGAGTGTACAAAATACAATCCAGGTGCAAACCGGTTGTAATCTATGTACGGTTGACTATATACACCGAGCCAGGACCGGTTTCGTAATCGCAACAACCGATGAAAAATCGAGACAGAAAATCCTGGATGCCTCTCTGACCCTGGAGAGTATAAACGCCAAAGTTATAGAGGCCTCGGATCTAGTCTCCTTACAGATACCAAATGTGCCCGTAAACATCATACTACAACGCGGCCCGGTAACGGTCACATGCGAGATCCTCCGAAAAACCGGGCCTCTGCCAGCCAAGGCGCGACCATATGTAACTGACCATCCTGGTGCACCATATCGCAACTGTGTTGCTCTTTTTCCTCAGGACTTCACTCCTCGTACGGGCTTCCGCCTCTTTGAAGAGTCTGGTTTGGCTACCAAGCTACAGCCTCAGTAAAGAATCAAGCAGTACTACCGCTGCCTCGGCTTCCACGTCACTCGTGGTTGTTCCCGCTCTCTGGCCTGTCGTAATTGCGGTTCAAAAATGTACTCTGAAGAAGAGTGTAAGGCTTCCACTAGATGTCAAATTGTGGAGGAGCTCACTGATCAGACTAACGGGACTGCCAAGCTAGACCCAATAAATTCGGCCCGTTGAAGAAAGAGCTGCTCGCGTGGATCCGACAAATCGAGCAAGGGATGTTTGCAGAAGCAGCCCGAGCAAGAGCTGCAGCCAAAAGGGTAGAGGAGACGATTATCGCCTCAAACAAGGACGTATCCATGGCTGAGGTATTGGGCTTCGGAGTTCTGGAGTCCGAAGAAGTCTGAGGGGACGGTGACCTCGACAACGCCCTATAGGGCATTACAAACTAATAGCAGGATACCGGCTGTATCAATTATACCTGCTAACCCATCTCTTGCCCTCAGCAGAGATCGGAATATTTGTCATCTAGAAGGTGTGACGGGTGAAGCAATGTGTGAGGAGCGCATTGTTTGGGCTCAATGTGGAGGAATCTTCTGAATGTAGGGGTGTTTTTATTTTTTTTTGTTTTCGGTCCTGTCATAATCTGCTACAATTTTGGTAGCGATTCTAGCTGTTGGGATGAGTGGGCTGTGGAAATGAACACAGGGTTGCCGACCGACTCCACCGGTCCAGTACCCATAGTATGACGTAGAGCTTTTACTTTAGCTAAGGACTTTAAATATTTAACAATAACGACTAGGGAGCTCATGGGCTCAACGTGCTGATAGACAGCTATCAGAAGTAGAGGTCGCGGAATCTCATACCCCGCTATATTACCAATCGCGGCTGGGCTCAAAGGCTGGTTCGAGAAAAGACCAAACAGAAGCCTGTAAACATCGGATCACTAGTGTGCCAAATTCAGAAATCTGTGCCTACTCGGACGGAGCATCGGAAGTAAACGGACGCTTAGTTTGGGGGCTCGTCCTAAAGCTTGATGGGAAAACTTTCCCAAAATGAAGTGGCATGAAGCACGGTGGAAAGACCTTAGACGTAGAGATTACGGGGTCATAGGAAGCTCTTAATGCAGCTAAGGTTCACCTGAAACGGAATAAAGAGCAACTGAAGGGAGTGACGTAGTGTATTAATTTGTTGATAGATAATCGTCAAGCAACGAATGCGCTGAGCACGAGCAGGCCGTCGACCAGCCACAAGGAAGTACGAAAATTTCGCGAACTATCTGTGCTAGCTCAGGTAAGAATAAAGTGGGTAACAGGATACTCGGGACTACATGGAAATGAGGAAGTAGACGCAGCGGCTAGATCAGGCTTTTGAACACTTCCCAGCGTTGAAACTTAGCCAGCAACCATCACGATGGTAGCTCTATATCAAAAAACGAATTGCCAACGATAGGCTTTCTAGACAATTGTTACGAAATCTCATTGTAGCCCGTACGGGCCGCGGCAATTTCGCAGTACATCATCACCGCTTCAACAATCTAGACGCTTTCACAGAGTGCACCTGGGGGGAGGAAACCAAGTCTACGCAATTTACACATTTTTGACTCAACGTAAACATTACGCGTCGAATCAGAGGGTTATTATCGCACAGTACCCTTCTACTCAAGCTTCTCGGATCAAAGTGCTTCGAGAACTTCAAAGCATTTTCGCAGGATACTAATTGTTTCGAGTATTCTCTTGTGCGCCCATCTCCTGCTCTCCTTGGAGATCGAGTATATCTTGTCAGGAAACTAAACCCGACTAAGCAGGAACCGAGGCGAAGAGTATTGCTTCTCGTTCTAATTTCGTTACAACTTATATTTTTTATCGGTTTTATGAGGAAGTAGTTCGTGTCGGCGCATATGTTTAACTAACTGCTGGTTTTGTGGTGGTTTATGCGATGGAATCAAGCTAGGGATGTCTTACATGTTGTCCTGGCTGTGAACACCGGTTCTGTACTCATAGTTGACTTAGAGCTCTAGCTTAGGACCTTGATAAAAACAACAATACACCTGAGCAGGGCCCAGAGCAGCATAGCTGTGAAGATAAGAAGCGAATATATCGGGTTCAATTCCCATCTACACAGAAGAAAGTTCCAGGAGGAGATAATACACGATGCCAATGTGTATATCCGCCCCAAAATGTGAAGCACATGGTCTTATCCTGTACCAGCTGTGTCAAAGGAAGATTATAAATACTGAGAAAGGCAGAAAATCGGTCATTCGAGGCCATGGTAAATAATTCAAGAGATATAGGAAGGATAACTAGATAGATCCAGCAGGAAGGAAGGCTAGAACAGTTTCTACTGACTGTTGAAGTCGAGGCTATGATGAGTGAGAGAAAAGAGGGAAGAAGGTTGACAGACCTCTCCCAGTAGCAAGGAAAGGAACGGTATCCACACTGGACATGACAGTGATAGTGCACTTCCTAGAGGTAATACAGCACCATAGTGTAGACATATTGAGAAGGTTTTTACCGCAAAGGTTCCCTCCTATGTAAATATTAGAGTTCATAGACACCTGCATGGGCCCGTAGGGCGCCACATCGGGCTAAATGAAATCAAAGTCAAATTGTTCTTTCATTCCAACACTATCTGCCTACAGGCCAATGATACCTTTACCAGTAGTATATCTCTTCCTATGCCTCCCATACAGCTCCCCTCAAACAGTATCACCCCTCGCAAGTCCTCATTCGATCATACACTTAGAGGAGCCCTTAGCCCTTCATTATCTCCCCTCTCCAGCCAACAAAACGATGGCTAGTTGCGGGTGTATGGCAGCCGGGAAAATAGCAAAAACCACTGGTTGCAAAGCTCTCCTAATACCAAAATTAGGACTAAATCTGAAGACATAGTGATCCTTCTGATGCGTTCGAAGAGGCCGGCCAGCTGGGCGCTGCAGACTTGTGGGTATCTCGGGAAATTCACACTCTGCCTTTCTAGCCTCCTTCCAAATTCTTCCAGAAGGTCATGCTGAAATGTCAGAAAAGTCTTGACAGAGTGTGGTTGCTGTATAGTAGCTTAGCCCAACTTCTTTTGTGTCGTCCAGGCCTCTAGGGAGTGCCATTGACTCATCGAAAATAGAAGCCCTCCTGGCTAGTCAGCCAAAGCCTTAGTTTTGGCGCCCATAAACGTTCCAAATTTGAGAATCCCTCAAAAACGTTAGTTTCAGCATGGTCGTCAAAGATCTCTTTCCCCTCTCGCTCCACATCTCAGCCGCCTGTCCTTCCTCAAGATATATAACCATAGTAGAGCAGCAGTCCCCCATAAACCAACACCCGTACTTTGTATATTATGACTTAATTTCCTCCTTGCGGGTATACGTAGCGTCGTAAATTTGCAGTGAGTGATGGCCGGTGATGAACGAGGCAAGCTCCTGTTTGCAATTGGGGTGACGCCTTTATCGCTCGGCCAGGTGAGATGATATGTGGTTAGATCGGGAATGAGGACTCAAATGAGAATGATAAGAGAGGCATTGTCGAGAAGTCGTTAAATGGGGATATGCTTGAGATTGCTTTCGACTCCGATTCGGATGCGTTTCTCCCAGAGCCAAGTTGAGTCAAATTTCGCAATATCAAATAAGTTAGCCCACGAGGCAATGATTTAAATTACTCCACCACGTCGTTTTTTCGCTCCCAACGAGTTTGACTTCCACCTAAGTCTCGTTAAGTCTACATGTACGACCAAGTACATCCTCGTCCCAATGACCACACCTCTCTCCGACTTTCTCTGGCCTCAGCTGGTCGCCAGATACACGCCCACGCCGATATTTACACCCGCTGGAGGAAGCAAAGCGTGGCGCACAAATCTGGGAGAAAGTTCTTTGGGATGGACGTGAGAGGGATCAAGACAAGTTTGCAAGATGATGCGAAGGAAGGTTACAATCTCGGAGGGCGTGAATTTCGGCAAGCAGTTTTACGAATTGAGCTTTGTGCGCGCCAAGACTTCGCTTGCGAGAGTGCAGCTGACACTATAAAAACAAGCCGACGATGGAAGGTATGGTGGTCCGCCATCTGGTGATGTTTTCTGGTATGGTTTGAGTAGCCTGGGCATCTACTCCTCTTGGGAAGGAGACGCCTCAGATCACATATCGCGCGGAGAAAAGTTGAAAGATGACGGAGGCATGTCAGGATAACTCAGGGTTTTTGAGACGTTCCCCTGGGTGGGTATTCACGGATGAGGGCTGACTTGGGGTGAAGAAAAAGCCACCACAACTTCGCAGTGGTACTTGCAAATGAAATCCGAGGCATGAGTGCTCCTATTGTAAATTGTGTCATCTTTTCTGTACTTTTCTTTGATATTGTGTCATAGCTAGATAGCTGCATACGCAATTAAAATCTGATGCAAAAAAATTAAATAGCACCGGTCACGTGTAATAGCTAGATAGCTGAATACATATTAAATGATTTTAAAAAAATTTTGTTGATAACTAGCCCGCACCTGGATAATGGGAGCCCGACTGGAGAACAGCTACTAGTGTTCGAAATATCGGGATCATGAATATAAATAGGAAGGCGTTGGATGGTGCAGCGGTATACCATTTGGACCGATCTCCCAAGTAGATACTGGGTAGCTTGAACACTCACCCCATTTGAGACAGGAGAAAGCTGGTTCGACTCCAAGAAAATCCACATACCACTCTGTCTCGCAGTAATATTTTGTTTGAGGGATTATGAAAGTACACTCAGGTAGCCACAGGGTCTCCACGCTTTTCCCTGTGATGGGTATGCACGGAAGAGGTTATAAGCTGTAAGGGTTAATCTCGATTGGTATCTGCAAATGAAATCTGAGTGAGTGCTCTAAACGTCAAATTGAGTCATTCTACGTATAGTACATATCTTCCGATAAAAACCTGCATCGGCATCAAGGCGCGAAACCAGGACAATGGATAACTTGTTTATGTAAATAGGGCGTTGGATGTAGCAGTTGTTTTGTTCCCCAGTTAATATATAAATTACGTTTTAGCATACAAACCCCCAATCTTTCTATATCGAAACTGTTACATCGTGCAAGGACAAGCTTTCTCCGTGTCATTTTCCATGAGTGCTAGACTTGTGCCCGTCACGAATAAATATCCATTCACCCACTAATACACTACTACTGTAGAGAAGAGATCATCCCTGTTTGTAGCAACACTCACCAACCTCCTTAAATCTTTAATCACGTTTGAATTTTGGCCCTGATGTTAGTATTATGAGAGCCTCGCATCGGGTAATGCTTCGGATTTTCTGTGCAGCAAGATACCTACACGAGGTATTTACTCACTCGGCAAAATAGGAATTAAATTGATGGGATGAGAGCTCTTTAGACGTCATCAAAACAAAGTCTCATTCGATGTCACTGTGAGGCTAAGGCCTAAGGTAAGCTCACAAGAAATAACTCAACCTTAGGTGTAGATGCTCAGAGGACAAGTCGTAGATGACCCACATATCATCTAGTTACATAGCAGAATTAACCACATGTTCATCCACGTAAATCAGATACTTTAATAAGCCCATTTGTGCCTACAATGAGGATTGGACTATGTAGTTAGCGTAACTGAGATTTTGTCGTCGGTTCTTCAGTGAATTCACATTATTCCAATAATACGCAGTACATCATTACGATCTGAGCCAGCAAAGACGAATTCTTGAACTTCCAGTGGTGCTGGAGTAATCGCTAAGAATGCTCTGCATATCCGGGATATTCAACAAGGATAGCATCCGGATCGAAGTCGATAGCAAACACAAACACATATATAATCGGCGAATTCTCATTAATATCGGTCTTGTTATGCTCGCGCGAGTACCCTCACTGGAACTTATCCCACACCACCTCGCCTTAACGACTGGATAGGTGATTATCCTTGTTGAAAAAAATAACTTACCTCATCAATTACCAGCCAGCACCGACTGCCAAATTTATGACTCCACTCATACCCGCAAGGAGATTGTTATGTCATAATATATAGAGCCCGGAGTCGGGCTTGTGGGTAACTGTTATTCTTAAAGTGTTATACATCCTGATAAAGGGTGGGCGGCTGGGAAGTGGAACTAGAGGGCGGAGAGATCTCTCGTGAGCATTTAGGGACCTACAGTTTCGGTCATTTCCGAATTTGGGATCCTTGTACGCCCTAGGACCACAGATTCGGCAAATTTAGTAGGACGTCTTCTGTCGATGAATTTACTGCGCTCAAGAGTATTCTAGAAGGCACAAAAGAAATTGGCTAAGCTAAAATACAGCAATTATACTCCGTAAAGGCTTTTCAGAAATTTCAACACGACATTCTTGAAGGAGTGGGAAGGAGGCTAGAAAGCTAGAGTGTGATGTCCCCAAGGTACACTCAAGTGTATGGCTCCCAGCAGTCCGGCCTCTTAGAATACTTTAAATTGGTAGTCATGTTTCCTTATATGGTCCTAGAACCAGTAATAGCAGAGTCTTGCAATCAGTGGCTGTTGCAATTTCACCCAGCTGCCACAAACCCATAGGTGACCATCGTTTCATTAGCTGGAGAAGGAATTCAAGGGAAGTCAAAAGGCTCCTCTAGGTGTCTAACCAGGAGAGGACTTGAGATGGGTGCTCTACAGAAGGGATTATATAACTAGATAGGTATTCGTGACCTCTGGGCAGAGAGCAACTGCATGTAATGCATAGTTATAGACTGAGAAAGGACAGTAAAAGAGTTAAGTAACTAATGTCGATCAGAGTGCTCCCAGCCACTATGTTGGCTCTACAAACATTTGCGTGAAACAGCGATAAAAACGCGGAAATGTAAGAACATGCAATTGACTGTAATGGTGTAAAATTCGCTAGTGCTTAGATGTATCTGGGCAAGTCTTCATTTTTGCTTTTTAATGCTTGGAATTCTAAATTTACATTCATGCTAGCTTAAACCGCGCCGATATATCTCAAAATTTCCCAATTCATTTAGGTTACGCTTTGCCTCGAAAATTAACGCGACTGTATAATACAAATTGATTTTTGCTGAGCTTAAAATGTGTTCTTCCGTGGCGCGCAGGGGGTTTCTATTTGATCCTTTGATCTGCCACTTTTGACATGTAATTGTTCCCTAGGAAAACTGGTGTATTTTTTTTATCTTTTCATGCTCCTCCTACGAGAATATTGTTCACCGGGATATGGACTGTAGTCTGTGAGGAAATTACTTGTTTAGCAAGGTTTAGTACTAACTGAGTTTCACCAAGTATCCTACGGCTCCCATCACAAGAAATCCTATGCCAACTGCCTGTGAAATCTTGATAAACTCTTCAAAGTCAGCTGTGATCGTGTTAGCGATAAATTCAAATCAGTGCGGTTCTCCAGAAATCTTTAGGCGACCTAGAAGCTGGAAATTATAAGGGAAAATGCAAATGTATTTCTTGGAGTGTAAGAACTGCTTAATCATACGCTTTGTACAACGGTTGACAAACTGAGTGCCATCCTTAACAAAATCCCGCGGGATGTCCATAACTTCTTGAAATTGATTCGTCATAGTGAGTTGAAGGCTTAGATTGATTCCCTGTGACTTAAATATAGTTGTCGATAAATAAATCTCGGATTGGGGTGTGCAGTTTTTTAATGAAAACGGATAGTAGTAATTAATAAATTGTTCGATGTATCAGCGCCAACGTAGAGGCCACCTACGAGCGGCTCACGCCGGATAAATAGTAAGTCCGGTGCTTTGAAGGTTTTACGCCGACTCGCCTGGTTATGTCACTCTGTCAACCCATAAACTTTCTCATTTAACAATTCATCACGACTTCCGAAGCTGCAACTGTCTAAAAAAAATTCAGTGCTCCCTTGTTAATTAGGAACTAAACAAGTTAGTGTGGACTTAATACTTTGTCGTTAATAAGATATTGTCTGTTTGTACCATAAAGGATAGGGAAAGAAGTGGAACGGTCATATTTCTTTCAGCCTTTTACGTCGGGGCGGATTAGTTTTGATTTCAACTTGTCTTTGATCAAGGATTCTCACTCCAGAAGATATTCAAATTCTGTCTGTATCGAAACCGGAATCTACGAAAGATTGCAAGCACAGAGCTTCGTCTTTCTCTGTTAACTGCATTTGCCCAAGGCGGTGTTCAAATTGAACTTGGTTCTCTGCTGTGCTCGGAGTGTACGTATTTTGTATCTATCCCATGTATAACTTCAAACCATTTGACGCTTACATGAGTCACAATTTTGATCCTCATCTGATGTATTCACGCGCTGATCCTGTTACCCTCGCAATGCAGAACTTTTTACTCAAAAACGCCCTCTCGGAATCATAACCTTAAGGGTAAGTTTAGTCGTACGCAACATCTTCTAGCAAATAATATTATCATAATGGCCGATGATGAATTTGATATCGACATATACGGAGATACCAATGCTGGCCAAGGAGTAGAAAATAATGAGAGTAAGAAAGGCGATGGAAATAGTATACCACTCAAGCGTGAGGCTCCTAGCCATACTTTGACGGAACCCAATCTTAGAAAAAATGAGAAAAAAGATAATGAAAATGCTGAGGTCAAGGCTGATAACAATGGATTTGACCTTTCTGTCGAGCATCAAAAAATAAAGAGCACAGATGAATCTGGTCAAAATACACTAAACATCCCTAAGCAAGCTCCGCAACAGCAAGGTATCAAAAGAAAGGAGGGTTCAGATGACCGCCCAATCGATCCCGGCGCCACAACTGCACTCTTGATTTCGGAACTGAACTGGTGGAATACCGATGACGATATTCGGGGCTGGGTTAATCAGGCTCAAGTAGAGGACGAGCTCAAAGATATAACATTCTCTGAGCACAAGGTGAACGGTAAGAGTAAAGGGTACATCAATCTCCTAGGGGCCCTAAATTTTTGCTAATTAAAAGTTTAAAGGCAAGCATGGGTCGAATTCACTTCCCAACAAGCTGCTACTGCGGCAAAGCGAAAAATTGACGCTTTCGGTGAGGGTCAACAATACGTAAAGAAACACATTGTAACATTCTCAAACCCAAATGTTAACCCATTTCGGACACTGCCTAAGGATGCGCCATTACGTGCGGGAAAAGATGGGCAAGCTAACCGTGCACCATCTGGGAGCTATGGAAATGAAAGAGGTAATCAAAACACAAATTTCGGGGGAAATTTCCGTGGGCGTGCCCCTGGCTATAATGCCCGTGGTGGTATGAATAATAACAATAATAACATGAATAACTTCAACCGCAACTTCACGGGCCCAACAATGGGCAACATGGGTGCAAATTTTAATGGCCCTATGGGTGGATTCCCTGGGAATCAATTGACGAACCAGTTTGGCGGCTTTAACAACCGTGGTGGAATGATGGGCAATTTACGTGGTGGGACTGGCATGAGAGGAGGTCGAGGAATGAGCAATGGTATAATGAGTGGAATGCCTATGGGAGGTATTCAAATGAACGGTATGCCTGGTATGGGAGGTATTCCTTTGAATATGGGAAATATAACTGGAGGGATGCCAGGTTCGAAAATTTTCTTCTTTCCCCCAAGACCTGCTTGAAGATGGTACTCATCAAGGCTCTCATCCATCTCATTTTCAAACCCTAAACTTTCACTCTATGGCTTTACTAACCAACCCTGAAAATCAGGTTCTGGCTTCCAAGGAATGCAACCGCATTTTAATCCAGCCTTCTTCCCAGGTAACCAAGCTGCTACAGACTGGCAAAATCCCCATGGAGTCAAGCGACCTCGGCCTGAATAACTTTCAATCTTTTTTTAATTTTCTGAAGCTAATATTTTACAATGCCTCTTTCTCAGCTTCGGAGTAAATGCATTGGATGGCTTGTTGGGGCGTTATTTTGTTGGCGACATTAGAGAAGGCAAAAAGATCTCTAGCATTATCTCCATACTATTCGACATATTTATGTATTATAATTTGGGTCCTAAACCCGATTAATTAACAAGCCCAGTGCTAGGATTGAACTAATCCAGGTGTTTCCATATCGGCGTGCACCTTATTCGCTTTACTGTACCGGATCGTTGTGTTTTTCATCTACGGGAAAAAAATAGGATCGCGCCTTCCGCATCAATTTCTCAGGCACGGCAATACCAAATTTTCTGCACTCGCAAACACAAATCTGGCTTTCATTTTTTAACCCGTTTTCACACTTCCGCTTAATTATTTTTCTTGAAGTTTATGATGTTAGTTTTTTGAAAATAGTGACCAACCAAACAAATCGATGGCGATGAGAATGCTATGGCTTTTACATCCCGAAACTGATACCAATGCAAATTCATCTACACCCAGAGACTTGAACGCCACTCCTACTCAACTCTTCCCGGTGAAAAACGGGGTATCCAATCTTCAATATCACGGTAATGCAATTATTGGCTTAAGTTTGCTAGCCACGGCACTACTTCTCGCTGCAAGCCTCTTTAGTGGACTAATATTGGTTCAATACGGCATAGAATTATCATGGCTACAAGTAAGAGATGGATCCAGATCTGAAACTAAGAAGTCTGAATAACTGTAACTTTCCATATGGCATTGTACTAACAATTATTCAGAGAAGATAATTACGCTATCACTTGTTTGAGAAAGCACAGAACTTGGATGCTTTGCTCCCTAATCATATGTACAGTGGCATGCTCCGAATGTATGCCAATCATACTACAGGCCATCTTTCCAGGTCCATCATGGGCCATGGTTCTAGTCTCAACAACACTCGTGACCATATTTGTCGAAATAATACCTCGATGTCTATTACCAAGACGTTTTTTACGATGTGGCTATCAACTTTGGCCAATTATATGGACGTGTATGTTAGTGACTGCCATCGTGAGTTGGCCTGTTTCATTCATCCTCACTAATTTGGGTTACGGGAAAAAGGACAGAATAATATTTACAAATAGCGAGCTCGAATCTATTATCAACTATCATGATAGATCAGAGAAAAATGGAGGACGACTTGGGCGCGATGCTTCGCGCATCATGTTAGGTGCCTTACAGCTGGATTCTCAATTGATTGGGTATAAAGTGTCGGGAAGCCAAAATTTATACTGTACAGATACGCAGGGGGATCTTGAGAAAGAAATGTCTTCTGACTCAATCAGCATATCTACTAACTGGACTATGGTCAAAATGGTCTACATTGATGAGGTAGTCGACGAAGATTTTATCAAAAAAATTAAAAGCTGGCCATTTAGTCGACTTCCTGTTGTAGGGATATCGCACAAAGAACATCAGAAAAATACCTTCCTAGGACAGCGAAATAAAATTCAAGTTTTTGGATATCTCCACGTCAAGGTAAATAATAGCTTCTGATCTAGTTGGTAAAATTCTGAAAAATTTCAGTATCTTATTGGCTGCGATATTTCTGAAAGGTGTGGGAACCGCAAACTCCTGGTCAAAGACTTACCAGTCTATCCTCTTCCTATTGTTCAAGAAAATCTACCAATCTATGACCTCTTGAACCTCTTTCAGTCGGGAATCTCTAGGTGAATAAGCCAGATATAAATCTATCTGGAATGCCCCTAACTTGTATCAGAATGGCATTACTTGTACCCACCCGAAAAAAAAAGGCCTGGACAGATCTTGGAGGACAAATTTTGTCATCGACAACCTCACATCCGGTGCTGTTAACATGTACTAAACCTATACATAATGGGGCAACAGTAAATTCTATGCTACAAATAGATGAAACGATGCGTGATAATGAAGGTAAAACATCCGCGCCCAAGGCCGCAAATAATCAAGGTGCACAGATCCTGGACCTATTTAGAAATGAAGAGGCACAACCACTAGGAATCATAACATTCGAGAATTTAATCAATGTCATCTTCAAAAAGTTAAGCCATGATGAAAAAAAAAAAATTATACGAAGCGTAGATGTTTGCCACGACAATGAACGAGGGGTTAAAAATTTAGACGACATTGCTACCCCTAGCTCGTGTGAACCACTAACAGTAGCCAAAAGTAGTCCTTTGAGAAATTGGAAGGGAAATCAGAGGGAAGATGCGAGGAATACGGATGGTGCTGACGAGCGAGTTTTCGATCAACCTCGCTCATGCGGCATAACCATGAAAACGGTTCGAAGAATCCTTGCAGGAAGCTCGTACTCCATAGATAGTCGAGGCTGTTTTCGTAACTTGAGCAATTCGACTGAAGGAAAGGTCGATTTGCCGCTTGGCCGTGCAGCTATTTCATCGAACGTCGATCCGAACGAAGTTACTACTTGCCCATATGCTTTAGAAAAACCAAGCACTCAGCCTGTGAGGAAAATTTCCTTGGAAACTTCCAAAAATCTCTCCCAACATTTTGATACAACCTCGACAATCCCTAGGCGTTCCCGACGCCAACCGGCGACACTATGCTCTCTCCAGACCGACTCGAGCTATGAAACTGCGAAAGACCAAATCTTTTGTGGAGAAAATTTATCCAAGCGGTATAAGTACAAAAGGCTACTGCGCCTGAGTGTTTCAGATTCAAGAGATGGCAATATTTTTCCGAGAAAGTTGAATGAGGCGGTTTTTGATCGGAACAAGTTCCTCGACCAAGCTATTTTTCTTAATAGTCGGCAGAATTACAAGAGCCATTCTCATGCGGGATCATCTGGGACAAAGAGTAAGGAAAATGTAATTATTTTTAATGGCATAAAGACGATGCCACGATTAATAGGAAATAGTATCATGGTAGCTCATGGCCGAGAAAGTACCTACCGGGATGATAGATCTCTTTTACCGAGTCAAATCAGATCTTTAAATATCAACATTGGCCAGAGAATAGGGTATGGGACATCCAGGAGTACCAGTTTCTATGTCTAATCATTGATACTTATAATATATTAGAGTCTCAATCGCGTGCAAGACGGCTGCAGAGAATCAAAAATTATTTGTTAGTTTGAGTCGCTTAGCGCATTCTTGAGGGTATTAAGCCGTACGTTCTTGATGAATAGATTAAAAAATATGAAAGGAATCGACGACCTTTGATCGACTTTTTTATATTTGAAGCATTGCCGCACAAATTAAAAGATCTATCTGGTTCCACCTCTGAGTCAAAGTAGATTTCTGGCTCTTGAACCGATCATCATATGATGAGATTTTATCTAGAGTCGGAGGAATGTGATCTCGACACTCCTCCAATATTTCGAAGAGTAGGTCCCTGTAAGAACGCTCGTCATTTTTTGTTCCATCTAACCCTTTAATGAAATTCTTCCATGAACCCAGAGACGTGCAAAGAAGTCTCAACGCCACCTGAGTTCTGTAACATACTGTGTTGCGGTCTAGAATATAACTTCCCAAAAAGCCTTCGCGATCAAGTTCGATTACCTGAGCTTGACTCATACGGGCCAGAATCCAAGGGTCGAGTAGAAATTCGTCCCAAGGATTTTTCTCCAGAATAAAGCCGTATTCGACGAGGAGAAAGTCATTTGAGTGATTCCCGTAGGAGATAGAAATCTCTTCGTCCACCTCAATATTTGTATTAGCAGATACAACTAAAGAGGTTCCACATGGTTTGACTGTGGCAGAAGGCGTGGAGCTATGGTTCAAACAGTCTGCGAAAGGGTTGAGGGCCAGGCAGTCTGGTGGGGCAGGAGGACGATGGCGCTGGGTAGGGGGAACAAAATAGAAACTACGCGTGTTGACGAGAAGCCAGTTATAACGATAATGCCTTTGTTTGATGAAATTAATGGCTGACGAGACAGAAGTCCAGTCAGCACGCAACTTTGCCGCCTGCTCTTTCAGAAGCTGAGAAGCGGCAGGAGGTAGATGGAGTAGCAGAGCGTCCGGCCAGCAGAGGGGCATGCTAGCCTCTAAGTCGGCGCGGGTCGGGAGCACGGCGCTCCAGGCTGGGGGCGTATTGCTAGCAAGCGCAGCAGCCAGAAGCCCATGGGCTCTGGTTTGTCTGGCAGCAGCCCGGATGAGATTGGGTACACTCTCTGGAGTATATAGGGCAGTGAACGGCACCTCAAGGAGGGTTGTGCCAGCCTAGCCACGCGTCAGCATTAGCTCGAGTGCGACGATGGAGAGGGTGAATATTACTCACGGAGATGCGTTTCTGCGCCCGGACGCCGAGACCGCGACCTTCAAAAGGAGTGGCAGCGATATCATGGAGGACAACGCCGCGGCACTCGACCCATTGGACGAAGTGCGTGTAGGTGTCCATGGTAGCGTCTACCCAGACAGGCGACGCCGGCGTCAAGACTTCGGGCAGGCGAGGCCGCGTGCTTGCAACGACATTCTGCTATGACATCCATCCAACATGATCACGACCCGCCTCCGTCCTGCACACCCCCTTCTCCACTGCAACCCTGCAATTCAAATCATCACACGCTGCAGTGTGAGCCGCCTCCAGCGCTCGTCGCCAAACTATGCGGGCCACGTGCCTTTAGGAGGACTCGAGAAGGCTGGACTCGCTGTCGGCGCTGCCATTGTCTCCCTATTGCAGCCGCGACGCGCTGGTAAGCAAGAGCTTCCGGTTGTGGGATATGCGCACATGCGCTGATACTCTGGCTCTAGATCTTGTGGCAGCGCTCGGTGAAACGACAGCGACGCCATTCTTCATCACTCGCCTTCGCAATGTTATGCTATCCTCGCCCACGGGCCGCCGTATTTTGCGCGATCGACCGCGTATAACTTCGACAAGTCTCGACCTTGCGCAACTGCGCGATTTACCGCCAACCACCGTCGGCCACGCCTACGCCTCATGGCTTGCCCGTGAAGGTGTGAGCCCTGACACACGTAGTCCCGTGTGCTTCATTGACGATGAAGAGTGTGCCTATGTCATGCAGCGCTACCGCGAGTCACACGATTTCCTCCATGCCCTCACAGGCTTGCCTGTAGTCGTCGAGGGCGAGCTCGCTCTCAAGGCTTTCGAATTCGCCAACACCCTCTTGCCCATGACTGGTCTCAGTTTATTCGCTGTCACTCGCCTCTCAGGTCCGGAGCGCCGTCGTTTTTTCTCAATATATCTACCGTGGGCACTCTATAATGGACTCCAGTGCAAGGAGCTCATCAACGTTTACTGGGAGGAAGTCTTAGAACAGGACGCAACGGCACTACGGGCTGAGTTGGGCATCGAGATGCCCCTCGACTTACGTGAATTACGTCGCAAGAGGAAGGCAAACAAAGGATGAACTCACGCGTCGGGCAAGTGGTAGTATGAAACTTCCTTGCGAGCAGCTTGGTATAGTTCGTTAATAGATTTATCATCAGTGTCTAGACAGTCGTGTTATCTCATGATCCTCCATTTCCCTCTGCTTGTCGCCAAATTCCCTCGCTAACGTGTGCCTTTTTTTCATATCCTTTTGCCGATGCGTCCTCATTCACTACTTGAGTCCTTGGACGAGATCTTCGAGGTCGTCTTCCTCTCCTGTCCAGCCGCCCTTACGCCGAGAAATGACTATGCGCTCTTCTTCACGTTGCTCTGCCACCGCTTCAAGTAACTTCTTGAGCAGTGCTTCGTCTACGGGTCCACGTAGCTGTCCGCTCCGCGCCAGCATAAGCAATTGCTCTTCAACTGCCTGCGCCCGCTCAGCTTTAACAAGCCGTATGCGACCAAGGCGCTCCGCTGCCGCTGGCTCCAGAATACGGGCAAGCATTGCCTGTCTGGCCTCCTTTTCCGCCTCCTGTTGTCTATGTCGCCATGGCTCAGCGTCGCGCTTCAGTGCACTCGCGAAAGGGGATATTTTCGCGGATAGGAAATGCACCTACTGGCCCTCAGCTGCCACATCTCGGCCATCACCATGCCCCTGTTTGAGTTGCTCTAGGCGTGCTTTTCGGATCTGGAAATTTTTTAGCTTATTGATCAATGGAAAGAGGGAAATGAAGCCAACCTGTGCCAAATCATCGTCGTGCATTTTCGCTAGCGTGAATTTATCTTTGGTGGTTGTTGTGAGGGGAAGGGTGTGCGACGAGCCCACTAAATATTGTAGCCTTACCACTAGCGCATTTTATCCCCAACCTGCAGATATTTTGAGCTTGTGATCTGCATGTTCAATAACACTGCCAAATTGTAGACAAGGTGCGAGAAATTCCTAGCTCCTAAGATCATGTTGATTCCCAACATATGGTATATCGTTTTGAGATTCTCGAAGTTTCATTGTCTGCTTTGCTTTGACTAAGTGGTACATCACCTGATTTACGGGACACGGAATATTTAGTTCCCGAGCCCTTTCGAGTAAGTACCCAGTGAAGAAATCAATGTCAGCCTTCTTACCCTGTCTTATAGCTGCAAGCATGGACGATACCATGACATCACTCTTTTGAATACGGTTCAGAATTTTTTTTTCCAGGCGTTCAGGACTAAAGTCTCGCTGAACATTTTTAATATTTCGGAGTTCAGGAAGAACGGGAATGAGTACTGAGATTTCTTGAATCAGACCCCTCATTATATTTGCTACACCAAAGTTTTCCAAAAGCTGGCCATTGACACAGTCGAAAGCGACGGCAAGAGGCTCTATTACAGCGCTGACAACTAGTCTAGAAAGCTGTCTTTTGTGGAAATCCTTGTGGCCCAGTGCTGCAGTATTAAGCTCAGGTGTTCTAAGAAGTGTCCCCACAAGATGCCTAGCCTGGGGTGACCAACTGAAATCAACTCGCTCAATAGTTGCACCATTTTGAAGTTCCGTCAAACTAATTCTCGGCATCTTGGAACAGTAAAGTTTAGACGGACTTCTTTCGAAATGCGAAAAGAAGTTGTCGGTAGGTCCAAGATCGTGTCTCATGTACCCAAGGACATATATCGGTCTTTTCTCTGCATCCGGAAAAACAATTCTATTAATCTTGTGGATCATCCCCATGCCGTCCTGAATAAGGCAAATTGTTGTGGTCGGGCGTATTCGGTGCTGAACGGAGAGTAGTGCTGAGACTGTTGCGGAAGCAGGGGTCGCAACAATAAGAGTATCTATAGCGTAGATTGGAGGTTCCGATGTGTGTTCGAGATTTTCCCCAAAGCCGACAAAATTCTGCTCCGGACTGGTTCGTCTAAAGTTGGCGGAAGACTCGACATGAAAGTTTGATTCTGAGAAAATTTTACCGCCCCTGTAGATTCGAATTGCAGCTCCTTCGTCGTGCCATAGCTGAATTTGTAATGGACGGTGCATTAGAAGCACAACAGGCGGAGCGTGCTCGAGACGAGCAATGCTGTGAGCAATAAACTGACCTGCTGGCCCCATTCCCAAGACATGAATTGTTTCTGATTCAATATTATTCTGTAGCTTAGATCCACTCGTAGCATTCTTCTGAGGCGTTACGTTAGAGCTTTGATATTCGAGCGAATGGTTGAGTGATTCTTCTGCATGCGATATAAATATGTGCGTATTGGTTGAGTTATCTACTTGATGGCTCTGTAGCTCCCAGCTATTCAAAGAGTTGGAAAGCTTTGAAGCTGATGGCAGTTGTTTATTGAGATTTTCTGTCTTGTCTACCGCGTTTTTCTGGTAGTTCTCACAACTTGTGTGTAATAAATTTGTGGCAGTTACTTTTCCTGTAGTCTTTGACTGCATAATATTATCTATGTGCTTGTAATTGGTCGAATTTTGCAGGTTTTTGTTGTCTTCATAAGGCTGTGTCGAAAAGTCATATGCCAGATGGTCTGATCGTTCTTTTCGTGTTGATAATAGTGACGAAGAGTTTGTTATCAAAGGTTGAATGTGAGCTGAGTCAAGTGATGTAGGTGTCGAATCCATATTAATATTAAATTTTTGACTGCTAAGAGCCTTGTTATCGGGTTTGCACGCAGAGATTGAGTGTGAAGTTTTCTGATTCATGTTGCCTTCTTTGCCAATTAGTGAAAAAATATTCCTGCTTAACTCTTTCTGGACATAATCAACTGCCTTCGAGCATGTGCTAATTTCCATATTTTCTTTGTAATAAAATCTGCACTGATGTAAGGTTCTGACGCTTATATTTTTCAACATTAAATTTCTGTCTCTCAGTCCAAAACGATAATGTAAAGACCGTACACTGAATTTTCTTGCCCTTAATTTGTCGACGTAATGATGAACAATCTGGCATTGGTATATTGTTCTCCGGATGTCCTTAAAGAGGAGGGTTTCTTTCCGACACGGCCAGCTACTATTAGATATTGTTTGCGCCATTATACGACTTGTATTTTCTTTGATCATAAAGGTAATGAAAGGATTGATTGAAATTTGGTGCGACATTTTACCTATTAATGTTAGTAAATCTTGAAAAACTGAAATAGTTGAAAGGTGGAACTGGGTATGTACGTTGTGACTGTTAAAGGTATCCGCCTCATTGCTTGTTCAAAATTACCATATGTACGCGTCAATACTTTCGTCGGTCTTATCACTTATCGCAATTGAATATTCACTGAGGACAGTCATTTTCCTTTGTGTAGGTAGAGGAAATACTGCCATTTATGATTGATTCCATCACAAAAATTTCATTCTCCTCATCTACAAGTTTAGACCTACTAATTCTTATCAAGCTCATTTGAAAGCTCACAAACATTCTCACCACTCAATCACAGTAAATGCCTCCGTTACAAATCTTTGGATCTTTTTAACATCTCTACAACTCTCATCTCTATTCTTGATTAAGCCATACATTTAAAAGTTCCTTAGTCGTCACAAGGCGAAAGAGAGCAACCAGCGAGATGCCCATATCGAGCTGTTTGTACGCCCCGAAGTTTTGTTACGCGCATTCATCCTCATGGATGTGTAGGACGATGATTTGCGGGCCAAGGAAATTAGGAAGGGAATAACACACCAACATGATTCACACGCTAATCGATTGACTGGACTCACAGGTAGATCTGTGTTTGTGCCGCTGAGGTTTTATTGTCTGGTATTCAGCCTGGTCAATTTATTATTGAGTAAGGTGTATTGCAGTTCTGCAAATGAATAAACCTTCTTCCTTGCCATCAGCATCCAATCTGAACAATTGAACAATATTGAGTTAGTTTTTTGAGACACGAATCGACCACTCGGCGACAAATACGCCAATTGAGTCTTTAACAAAATTACACTCAGAGCATTCCTCTGATGCAGGCCACCAAATACAATGACTAAAAAAGTGTATGCGGTGTCCTACACGAATCTGGGAATGAAATACTTACGCGAAATTAAGTGTACGAAAGTTTTGCAATAATAAGGATATAAGCCCTAACGCAATGACCCTAGACTCTAGGGGATCATTTTTTGCCCTCATCGAGATCCCTTCTAATCAAAGCATGTAGAGTCAATACATGCAATCTATTATCTCCTCAATTCTAAGACCACATATCTCATCCAAACAGTCTCTGGCCTTAATATATTTATCAAAAATGAAAGAAGCCCCGCTGAAGTATGCATCTCATGGCCCAGCAAAGACGAAGTTTTCATTTTCTACTAGTGCCAGTGTAAACGATCAGCCCGTTCGACATGTCTGAGATACTTAAGATGAATCGCACTGGAACTCAACTTAAAAAGAAGATATACATGGCCAATTCACAATTTTAAACCTTTCGCTATTTTGGCTTGCCATTAGCGAGAGCCCACTCCAAACTTACCAAGTCTCTGTGCACCATACTTTCCCCATCGATCGATGATGCTAAATACTTAACCTTCCACATTCACCACGATTCATAGTGACTATTTCTCGAGTTATAGACTCACGATGATATAGACACCCAGAAAGGAAGAGTAGAATCGTGAAGCACAAAGCAAGTGCCTTTGTTTTACGGGATAGTTTTCGATTACAAATCTCAGAAAGTCTACAGGAGAGCGGAGGAAATACTTAATAGAAGATGGCCAGGAAGTGTGAATTATCGGATCTAGAAGACTTGCGTCTGCAGGAATCCTCTAAAATGAAGAGCATTGTGCGCGCCAAGACTTCGCTTGTGAGAATGCAGCTGACACTATAAAAACAAGTCAACGAGAGAAGGTGCCATGGTTCGCCTCTTGGTGGTGTTTTCTGGTATAGTTTAAGTAGCCTGAGCACCTATTCCACTTTGAAAGGATACATTTAAGATCATTATTCCCGTGGAAATAAATAAATGGAGAAAGGAGGCATTTCTGGATAACCCAGGATTTTTGAGACATTTCCCTGGATGAGTATTTACGGATGAGGGTTGAGTCTGGGTGAGGAAAAAGCCTGAATAACCTAGTAGTGGCACTTGCAATGAAATCCAAGGCATGAATGCTCTAATTTTAAATTGAGTCAGTTGCTGTACTTTTGCTCTGGTGTTGTGTTATAGCTAGATAGCTGCATACGCAGTTAAAATCTGATGCAAAAAAAAACTAGATTATATCTGCAGCAGTGGGGCTTTCTAGTCAACAGTACCAACAGATTACCGTATCTAACTTATCTACCCAAAGAGTTTGCGCGATATTTTCTTTGATTAAATTCTGATTGTGTGCATAGCTTTTTAGCTGTGAAATAATATCAGAGAGGGTTACTCTTCTTAACGCCTGTCAGTGGTGTCCCCAACAAACCTCCAGCTCTCGCTGAAGTTTTTGCAGAGCCGAGATTGAGTAACACAGTCCTCGCTCCCATGAGGATTTCCAATCGCTTTCCCCGTCTGTATCTTCTTCATCTCGTGGATCCCAATTGATGGAAAACCGTCCGTGCAAATTCTGCGCAGTTGATTGGCTAACGTGGCGCGGGGGAAATGTTTAAATAAGTTTGCGATCCTACATTGCAAGAAAAAATTCACGTATTGACAGTCTAAAGCTCTACTTGCATTACATTGTTTATTAGTCGGAGCCACGAGATACCTGCATGAAATCATTTAGATCATGAACTGACCAACCAGAAGCCACAATCTCTCAAAACATTCCCCTATCACCATTATCATAAAGCTAACCACGATCAGATCAGATGGTGGGGTCGAAGTCCTTCTCGTTACCGACACTTGATCATGGAGAAGACATCCAATCGGTGTCTGGACCGTACTCAGCACCCAATAAGGCGATAGTGGGATCGATCAAGCTGGCTCATAATGTTTCAATGAAGGGAGGTATAGATGGATATGCGCACCTCCTGTGGTCCCGGTGTCTAGGCCTCGCCTGGCTGGGGCTGCAGGTTTTTTGAGACTTTTCCCGCTCACGCAGTTTCCATTGCTACCATTTTTATTCTTTTTGGGCACAAGGTTCCTTAAAAATGTGACTGAATTCCACGGGTAAATACTGAGCTGAAGGGCTATTAGTCACGGGCAATATATCAATGATCTTTCGAGTAACGAAAGGGGGTTGGAACACTGTGCAAGGTGTGTCCTATGTCGTAGGGTAACCCAATGTGCTAGATAGTCTAGGGTTCAAGTAGTACAGTAATATATCACATCACATTATATAGTGTACAAAATATGGAGTGAGATACGGCACACCACCACTACAATGTAGACAAACGGAGGTCAAGACTGAACACCTGTACGCGGTGTCCTCTACGAACCTGGGAGTGAAATATTCTCCCAGAGCCAATTTCAGTCAAATTTCGCAATATCAAAGAAGTTGGCCCACGAGGCAAAGATTCAAATTACTTCACCATGTCAATCTTTCACTCCCAAAGAGTCCGATTCTCATCTAAGCTTCATCAAGTCTACATGTACGACCTAGTACATCCTCGTTTCAATGACCACACCTCTCGTCGACTTTCTCTGGCCTCAGCCGGTCACCAAATACACGCCCACGCCGATATTTATACCCGACGGAGGAAGCAAAGCGTGGAGCACAAATCCGGGAGATAGCTCTTTGGGATGGACGTATGAGGGATCAGGAAAAGTTTACAAGATGATGCAGAAGAGGGATACATTCTCGACGGGCGTGAAATTTCGAATTTTGGCAAGAGTTTTACAAATTGAGCTATGTGAGCGCCAAGACTTCGCTTGCGAGAGTGCAGCTGACACTATAAAAACAAGCAAACGATGGAAGGTGTTGTGGTCCGCCTCCTGGTGATGTTCTCTGGTATGGTTTGAGTAGCCTGGGCACCTACTCCACTTGGGAAGGAGACATCTCAGATTACATTTCGCGCGGAGAAAAGTTGAAAGATGACGGAGGCATGTCTGGATAACTCAGGGTTTTTGAGACGTTCCCCAGGGTGGGTATTCACGGATGAGGGTTGACTTGGGGTGAAGAAAAAGCCGCTATAACTTCGCAGTGGTACTTGCAAATGAAATCCGAGGCATGAGTGCTCCTCTTGTAAATTGAGTCATCTTTTCTGTACTTTTCTTTGATATTGTGTCATAGCTAGATAGCTGCATACGCAATTAAAATCTGATGCAAAAAAAAAAAAAAAAAAAGTAGACAAACAAAAACAAGTTAGTGTTGAACTACGTGCACAGACCGCTTAAGGATGTAAACATGCCACACACTAACCCACCATGATTTCAATTTGAACAAAACACAATTATTCCTACAGCATTCTGCCGTTTTTCAATCCGAATAAGTCTTTAAAACACAATCCCGGTGTTTCATATTTCCATGCAATCTTTCAGTCAAGCAGCTGTAACCAAGGGAAACAAGCGAATTTCTTTACCTACCTGCTAATTTCAAACAAGCAGGCAAATTAGAGGTCATAAACTGAACTTCCATTATGGACTCTACTAAAATTTTGTCACTACTAGAGGATTTAGACGAAGAGATTGATGACCTTGAGGAATCTCTGGCACCTCTCCTGCAATCTGCCTTCTCTGACATCACCTCGAAGCTTCCTCTCCTCGACAAGGCTAAGCTTTATGTTCTCGTCACATATGCCATCGAATCCATACTTTTCTGTATGTATCCCATTGCTCTATAGATTCTTCCTAATGTAATACCTAGCATATATTCGACTTCATGGCGTCAATGCTCGCCAACATCCCGTCTTCCTCGAACTCACTCGAGTCAAACAATATTTTGATAAAATCAAATCAGCCGAAACCCCCGCAGCACCGAGGAACCTAACTTTGGACAAAGGTGCGGCAGGTAGATTCATTAAGGCAGATTTGGTTAGTATGTCTTTGGTCAAGTCAGGATGAATGTTAATGTCAGATAGGCCGGAAATGAAAAATTTGACCTGCAAAAAGCTGAGCAGCAAGCAAAAGAGCGGGCAAAAGCACATATCAGGTTTAAAGACCTACAAAATACATCGCAGAAATAAAAGTCCGAGCCTCTATAGTTCGAGGCTCACATAGATTCTCCTGGTCCGAACCCGTAGCCAAACTTCCATCGTCTATTTTCAGATCTAGTTTATTCAATACTTCGACGTAGAACTCAGCAGGGAAGCGGCTTAATAAATCTGCCAGAAAATCCAGCCAATAGCGCCTTAATGTTTACACTTCGACAAGTGCTAATAACTGAATAGGTAAGCAAGCAATTATCTCCGACGATGTCTATGCCTCTAGAAGCAAAAGTAAAGAAGTCGCGTAAAGATGAGAGGCAACGATTAAACTAATAACCGTTTATACATCTACACTTTTGATTTAAATACGAGTTTAGAGAGATGAATAGTTCACAGTTATCTTGTACTCATGGGAGACAGACGCTCTAGAATAATATTATTACAGCCACAACACTAACGAGCACATAATGCCCATGGGTCAGAGTAGCTGTCCGCTTCTAGATATTTAACTTCTATGATGTTGGATTCGACTTCTAAATGTAAGATACAAATTCCAGCCCCGCACAAATCATGTCAATTGAGATTATTCTTTTTCTCAACGACTAAAAGTAGGAATTGGGTTGCACCTAGAGAACACGGTTTGCTATAGTATACTATCTGCATTTTGGGAGACTTAGAAACCCTCCTGAAGCAACTTTCAGCTCGTTACATATACAACTTTCTTTCGTATCTTGTCAAGGACGTGTTACACCTTGAACTATGAGGTAGACGGCGGCTCAGCCAAGAATAAGGGAAACCAAGTGTGTAAGATATTTAAATATTAGACTAAATAATATCATTGGGTATTAACCATGAGAGGCTCGTTTGTTGATGGGACGGCCTAGATGTGTATGTTTGAAACGTAAACTAGAAGCTCTGGAGATTAGAGTCAAAATTTGACCATCCAATTGTGGAATCCGCTTGCAAAGAAACTTCTCGCCCTCGTAGAACCCAATTAGTGGTCTTTCACGTCATCTGTGGTAAATTTCTGATCAGCACAGTGAGGCGAAGTTTTAGTTGTAAACGTTATTGGCTCGATCTCGTACTGTAACTAGATCACTGAGGTTCTCTACCTGGGTTCAATCAACAAGACCGTCCTTGCCATTTACATGTACGCACTGATCAACTTCAGCACCTGCACAATTTCCATTCATTCTATATTACATGGCCGGATAGCTGGAGATGACAATACAGTGCGAATTCGTTATACCGATATTCGACATGCCAGTGTAGCCCTCGCCGTTTTATCGTTACATCGAATAACTGTCACATGATCTAACCACTGTCATTGGCTGTTGCCTAATTTTATTTAAACTTGTGCCTAACAATCAAGGCATAAATTGCTGTTTCCTAGTTGAAGTTCAAATATGTCATTCACTTCCCCACACGACTCATTAGGCCTAGCAGAAGTCTGGATGCATCTCATAAAAATATATATTCTTTAATGGCGACTAAAATTACATACACGACGCGCTAATTAAGGTAGGGGAGGACAAAGGCTAGACACCTGTCAGTGGTGTCCTCTACGAATCTGGGGGTGAAATATTCATCCAGTGCTGAGATTCAGTCACGACAAAGGGTGAATTTGAGAGTTTTCGTTGAGTTGGCGATCGGGAGGAGTGATGTTGGCTCATTTTTGGGCGAAAATCCGACTTGCAGAGATTTCACGACTGCACAACTCAACGAAATCAACCATCTACACCCCAGATACAAACCGCAGATAGGCAAAAACTTATCTGATGTTCGTATCACAACAACCGATAGCATTAAGATCTTATTTTATTTTTCTCTGGAAAATCATTCCCAGCCAAACTCATCTCGCGGCCCTCTCCACAATAATCTCACCACCTACCGAAGCAAACCCCCATACCTCCAAAAGTCAAATCGCCAACAAAGAAGCAAGAGGATGTCCGACCTTCCCCAACTGCCAGTCTCTGTGAAGGTACAGTCGAAACACCGGCCTTAAATGCGTCCTCATCTCGGACAAGGGCACCAATAACTCGACCTGCGACGAATCGCCACCGACGAAATACGTACGACATTTCGCCGCCACACCAACAGAGCGTTCGACAAAGGCTGGGGCACCGGTGCCTCGGTCTTGAGCTCCCAGTCGCGTTTTCGACCTCCACGGTTAGGGATACGGCAGCGACGGGGCAAGGCCGGAGGGGTGGACAATCTACAAAGTTTCTGGGATGACGAGGCTGGCTGAAGGATAGAGGAATGCTACATGAAGGAACGAAAAGGAATACAAACTGAGGAGACCTTGGTGGGCGACTGGATGAGGCCTTCAGTGAAGAAAACGACCCCTGGATGAGATGATGAGATGCTGAGATGAGCCAAAGCTGTGAATGAAGCGAAACGAAAAGTTACAGATCGCGAAGGTGTCAAGAGCTCGGGCGCGTGGTGGCCGAGGCCGAGGAGGAATTTGCACTTTGGCGCGCCAAAAGGGGGTTCTCTAGACGGTTGGGCTTGAAATGATTCAACACATAGGTGAAGTCTGATGTGGTCCGGTCATTAAAGTGGGTCGAGGTTTATCTGTACTTCACGGTAGGTAACCTGATCCGTTCCGGCCCCACTCATGCTTAAGCTCCAGTAGGAGTGCAACGGGAATCACTATACCTAACACGTGACTCCACAGATTTTTATCTATAACGTTGACAGCTTATCGCAATCGTGATGACGAGTTTTCCTACGAGAGGAATCAACGGTGGAAGGCCTTGCGCGGGTCCTAGAGGTGGTAGCGTCGCGTCAAACGCGACACATGACACAAACGCGTCCTTGAAAAGATTCAAGGACGCAACCAAATGCGAAGAGCTCTCTAGTAGAGCATACGAGAAAATCATCCAAGAAACAATACATATTACAGAAGGCTTCCAAAAAGCGAAAGTCTCCCCCCCTAAACCCTCTCAAGCAACCCCCAATGACAAAAATTCCGCAATACCTAAGATTCTCCAGGAGATCAAAGGCATCAAAGAAACAATGTCGCAGAATCAAGTCCCACTTCGCGCCCAAGGGCAGTCTTGGGCATCAATAGCAAGCAAAGCAGAATCTTACGGAACCACAATCCGTATACAGGATGAACAGGAGAAGAAAGAGGTAGCAAAACTACCGAGCGGAGAGTTGGTCAAGAAGATTGGCCTACAACAAATAATTGGAGCGAGAAATATGACCAACGGTCATGTAAAAGTTTACATTGCTGGAGAATGCACGAAAAAAATAATGGAGAGCCAGAAGGACTGGACGTCCAAGTTGGCCGCTTTGGCACAGGTCGCGGGCCCTATTCACCAGGTCCTCGTCCACGACATGCCGATCTCGTTCGAGCCTAATGATGCAGAGCATCTCAAGCTGCTGCAAAAAGCTAATGCTACATACATACAGGGTATGACAATACAAAAAGCCGCTTGGCTTATGAAAAATCAGCATGCAGGAAAAAAGTCAGGCTCCATAATTCTATGGATAGATCAAGCTGAACAAGCTGATCAAGCAATAACGAAGGGCTTAATGTGGCAATACGAGCTCAAGTCAACGAAACTCTTCAGGAAGGGGTTCCGAATGATGCAATGCTTTAATTGCCAAAAATATGGACATATTGCGAAAATATGTACCAGGGATTCTAAATGCGGACATTGTGCAGGAGAGTACAATACTCGCAACTGTCCCGGGAAAAAAGAAGTCTGCTGCAAAAACTGCGGCAAAGGCCACAAGACATGGGACCAAAGTTGCGCAGTCAGAGTAGCTGCCAAATACAGGGCCATGCAGAACAGAGCTCAGGACCCAGGCAGATTTGTCTCCGAAGATAAAGCGCTAAGAACCCAAGAAGATGAACGGCAAATTGCAGGAAGCCGTAAAAGGAGGTGTAATTTGACGGCACCATTAGTTGGGGCTGACAGTATCGAGCCTAGACTTCCCGGTAGACCACTTAAGGGCCCATTCATGGCCCCTAGTGTACAAGGCCTCTTCGCCAATACTGCAATAGTACCCCTCCAATTTGCAAACCGGACTGTGACACGGGAGACACCAGCGGATGAAACTGAAAGCGAAATAGAACAATGAAGGGCACACCAATCCTGACAATCGAACAGTACAACGTCAACAGGAGTAAAAACAAAGTGCAGAACCATTTCCTTCAAGCCTTAAATCCACTGAAGCACCACGTAGTGGCTTTACAGGAACCATGGCGTCATCCGACAGAAATCACGACCGTCACCCACCCTGCCTACCACTTGGTCTTTCCAAGTGGCCACAAAGGCAGGACATGTATATATATTAGTGAAAGTTTTACCATTAATAAATGGAGAAAAGAAAGAGTGCCAGAGGAATCGCAAGGAGACATCATCTCGGTCAGCATCGACACTGTCCTAGGTAAAATCTGGATACATAACGTTTACAATCCACCCACACCACACAACAGTAGCCTAGAAAAAGGGACACTTAAGTGGCTACCACAAATCCTATCCCAAGAAGGCCAACACATTCTAGTCGAAGACTTTAATGTGCATCATCCGCAGTGGGGGGGGCCAGACAGTACTTAGGCACCACAAAATCATAGACAGCTTCATCGAAATGCTGGGAGCACATGACTTAAACCTCATACTCCCTAAAGGAACAATCTCATGGAAGAGTAGAGGAAGTCAGAGCGGACTGGATCTAGCCTTTGTATCAGATGCCCTGAAAAGTGCCGTAATGTCATGCAAGCCAGTCTTCGACCTCGAAGCCTCATCAAATCACATCCCAATCTGCACACAACTTCAAATTGAGCTGTCAAATCGAGAGGAACAACAACCTCGACCACAATGGAAGAAAGCGGATTGGGAAGAAGTTAATAGGAGACTAGCCAAAAAGCTAAGTAGGATTTCGACAATCTACACCGAGCTGAACTCTCCGGAATCTATCGACTAAAGAGTAAGCGCCATTACGTAGGCCATCAAGGAAACGATCAAAGAAGCGATCCCTAGCGCCAGACCTTCAACTTTCGCCAAGTCATACTGGACTAAGGAGTG